GAGGGAGGGAATTTTGTACTTTCGTCGCAGACACCCAGATATTCGATATTTTACCATTTACCCGCCGAGGGGAACTTAGACAGGACTTGAGAGGATATATCTCGAAATGTATGCTACAATATTATTATCCCATCGTGCTCACTCCGAGAAAGGTTTCCAGCCTAACCTATGATATGTACCTCTCCCAATTCCCGAGTATGATATCTTTGCATCACCGCTACCAGTGGTAGACTCCTGGTGCTACTTGTGGGCTACCGAGCATGTTGTGCCCGTCAGACTCCTGCAAACGTCTCTCTCCACAGTCGTAATCGCCAGGGTGAATATGGGCGCGGTAGTCTAACTGATATACCACACTAATTCCGCCCTGCCCCCCCGCGATAACTCTATCGCTTCCCCCCGGCGGATTAAATATGATAGGTGAGGGTGGGGGTAGCTGTAGGGGTTGGGGTTGGGCTTGGTTCAAAGGAGTATTGGAGATCCCTGGAGTCACTGATCGCCTGTCACGCGCAATTTGATTGTCACGGGATCATACGGGTAGACCGTCATCTGCGTGTTCGAAGGTCCGGGGGGGCTGGCAAAGTTTAAGGTTTGGGCAACGCCAAACTCACATACTATAAATTGTGGACAGGTGGGGGCTAGCCACTCCACCACGCGCCCAATCGTGTGAGATCATTACCCGGGCTGCTTGTCTGACACTGGCAATCTTGTCCTAGCCCTTATTCTTTCCGATGGACATCACCCCTTCTCACTCGGCTTTCAGTCTTTCGCAGTACTGGGGGTCTTGGCACTCCCTTCGGCGGTTCCCCGAGGACCGAAAACAAAACCTCCAATCGCTGGGTAGACGTCCGATATTGTTCCGACGCCCTCCTTCAGCCGCATCCCCCATCAGATGCATTACCTCTTACACACACGATTGTTACTCCAACGGCAGGGGCTGAAGCCTTTAACACGAGTCCGTCTCGCATTTAGGGGGTTTGCCACGGTATCCGAAGACGGGAGGTGAGGGCTTTCACCAAATTGCCGTTATAGTCGGACATGTCTGACTGGTGGATCGTGTTTGTCCAAGGATAGTCTGAACCGAGAGTTCGACGTCGTAGTTATTGGCGGAGGACATGCTGGCTCTGAAGCTTGTGCTGCGGCGGCACGAGGTCTGCTCCAATTCCCGCCTCCCACGGCCCTGCACTAGCTCGCGGTAGCAAGAGTTCATTGTTGACCCCCGGCTTTCTAGCGGGTGCCAAAACCGCCCTGGTAACCCAGAAGATCGATACTATCGGAACATGCTCGTGCAATCCTTCGTTCGGCGGGATCGGTAAGGGAATTATGATCCGCGAGGTGGATGCTCTGGATGGTGTCTGCGGCCGGATAACCGATAGAGCTGGTATCCAATTCCGTGTGCTGAACAGAAGTAAGGGCCCCGCGGTGTGGGGCCCCCGTGCGCAGATCGACCGGAAGCTCTACAAGAAGTACATGCAGGAAGAATTGATGTCATATCCGAACCTGTCAATTCTACAGGGCAGTGTTGCGGATGTGGTTATAGACCGGGCGCCGGAAGGGCTGGTGGTTGGTGCGGACGGGCATTATGGGAAGATTATGGGGGTGAGATTGGAGAGTGGGGAGGTGATTGGTACTAAGCATGTTGTAATCACCACTGGGACTTTTCTGGGTGGGGAGATTCACATTGGATTGAGAGTTTTCCCATCCGGAAGGATGGGAGAGGCGGCAACTTTTGGACTGAGCAAGTCTTTGAGAGAAGCTGGCTTCAAATTGGGTCGACTGAAGACCGGGACACCTCCGAGGATTGATGGGCGGACGATAAATTACAGGAGCCTCCTACCGCAGTTCGGGGACGATCCGCCTATGCCGTTTTCGTACATGAACGAGAAGGTTCAGATTGAGCAGCAACTGCAATGTCACAGCACCCATACCACCCCCGAGAGCCACAATCTGCTACGACAGCATCTCCATGAATCAATCCACATTCGCGAGACAATCAAAGGCCCACGCTATTGTCCATCATTAGAAAGCAAAATAATCCGCTTCGAAAACAGGCAAAACCACATGATCTGGCTAGAGCCCGAAGGCATAGACGACCACGTCGTATACCCAAACGGCATCTCCATGACTGTCCCTGCAGAGGTCCAGGAACGCCTCCTGAAGACCGTCCCAGGCCTTGAAGAAGCCAAAATGCTGCAGCCCGGGTATGGCGTAGAGTACGACTACGTCGACCCACGCTCCCTCCGGGCAACGCTCGAAACCAAGATTATCAAAGGCCTTTTCCTAGCCGGGCAGATTAATGGAACAACCGGCTATGAGGAAGCCGCCGCACAGGGCGTCGTCGCTGGGATTAATGCCGGCCTCTCCTCCCAGGGGAAACCCCAAATGACCATTTCTAGAAGCGACGCTTACATCGGCATCATGATCGATGACTTGATCACAAAGGGGGTATCAGAACCCTACAGAATGTTCACCTCCCGCAGCGAGTTCCGCATGAGCTCCCGCGCCGACAACGCCGATCTCCGTCTCACCCAAACCGGCCGCCACCACGGCGTGGTCGGCGATCCGCGATGGGCGCACTTCCAAACAGAACTGTCCATGATGGAGGATTTCCGCTCCGCACTGTCCAACATCGCCCAGAGCAGCTCCGAGTGGCGGAAGCGAGGCTTGATGACTAGAGAGGATCCGGGGCGCAGGAGTGCCTTTCAGCTGCTCAGACTTCCGGGCGTGACGGTAGACAAGCTAGCCGGAATGGGGGTCGTGGAGGGCCTGGATCGCTGGCCGGAGAGGATCCGTACCAGGGTCGGTGTTGAGGGAGTGTATGAACCTTACGTCACTAGACAAACTAACGCCGTGAAAGTGTTTGGGAAGGACGAGAAGTTGAAGCTACCGGTTGATATGGACTATGATCAGTGGGTTTTCTCTGATTAAATTTCTGCAACATGTCCTGAGGAATTTCGACTAAGTTTCACGAAAACAGGGTCGTAGGCCTCTCACACGAGGAAAGGGTTGTGCTAAAGCAAGTCCGGCCCGAATCTATCGGACAGGCAAGACGCGTTGAGGGTGTAAGCTAACTCCTACAATATCAACCTAGTATCTATCAATCTCGAGACTAACGTTTTGTGGGAGTGCTTTCTAGATGACACCGACCGGCTGCGTCTACCTTCTCTCACACGTCGAGAGGAAGAGGAGAGGAGAGGCAAAAGCGATTGCTGCGGAATCGCAAAAAGCTAAGGCGATTTCGTTGGGCATGGGTATGGAATCTCGTTCAATAGGGTGAGGGGAAATTTTACATATCGTTTCACATTTTGTTATACTAGAATGGCGTTTGTATAGTACATTGGCAAAGAGGGGGTAAGAACGGGGGTTGAACTAGGGATTTGGGAGCGCTATAGGTTGTTCTGGGATGCGCTGTATATTCTTGTGACATTTGTACAAATACAATACCTTCTCTCCTTGAAGAGGGAGTCCTGCTTCTCCCCCTTACCTTCACGGTACTCGATGCGCGAGTGCACTGGTGCAATCATCACGACCGTTAAATTAATATATGGCTGGTATCTATCTAATTACAGCTCCCCATCAGCCCAAACCACAACAATACAGAAGAATCCAACTAGGCAAAGTTCATCTTCAACGCAATGGTCGGCGCACTGGACTGCTGCTGCGTACTCCCAGCAACAGACCTCGCATTCGACCTCAAGATCTCCTCCATGAAACCCCTCTGCTCAGCGCCCATGTTTGCAACAACGTTCTTGAACGCCACTTGGTTAATGGCGACCAACTCCAGCAACCTCTTTGCCGTCTCTGGGTACGCGCCTGGATTTGGTGAGGCGTAGGCTAGCAATGTGGGGATCAGTAGCGCCATGGCAACCTGTATTTGGTCGCCGAAGAGTGTGGAGACGAAGGATGTGAGAGTGTGACAGACGAGGGATTTTGTCTGATCCGAGTCTTCCTCGGAACCACTTTTGGTGGTTGTGACGAAAGTGATTAGTCGTGGGATCGTGTGACGGACTATTTCTTGATCGCAAGCGGTCTTGGGTGTGATCATGAGGATTGAGCGGCTGCATTGGGCAGCCATCTTGGAGGTCTATGGGGAGTGGGGATGTTAGAACTGCGGCTAGGATGTGTTTCTGCTTGAGGATGGGAGCCTACTGCTGTGTCTGACAACGCGTCTATTATTCTATCGCATAGGAGTGGTACCTGCTTGTCGTTCGGGGGCAATACGTTCACTCCGGCGGTAATGACTATCGTCGAGGCCATCAAGCAGTTCTTGAGGCAGGGCAGTGCAGCATCGCCTCGTATTCTGCCGAAACTGATCAGTTATTTGTAGACAGACAGGATGAGGAGTGAATACTTTGCGTTATCATGAATCTGTAATATGCTGCTTAGGCAACTCCGGACCTGCATGACAACCATCTCGCTGTCGTTGCCCCCGGTAGAATTCGTGATTATTCGGATGAACCGCTTGAATATCGGCAGGGACCGCGGGACAACCTCCGTCTGACAAACGCCGGTACTGAAAATGCCTACGAGCCATATGTTAGCACCGCAGCCGGGGCGGGAAAGTATCGCGACTTACTAGTGAAGATGTGAAGAATTGAAGCATAGAGATCCATTCGTATAACAACAGGAAATACTTCTGCGGCATATACCAGAGCGTCTAAAGAAACTCGGACAAGGTTGGCAGCTTCTTCCGAGAGTTGGTGACGGACTGGACAACTTGAGGTCAGCATAGCCCCATTCGGCAGAAAAAGGGTTGATTAGTATTCATACCCATTGTCTTCTTGTCAACTACGTTCGGTAGTAAGCGCGCAAGGACTAGGACCATTAGTCTTGTCAACTCGAAGAGCTGGTCAATGTCTTCTGTCAGATTTTCCCCCTGGGCGCCAGATTTTGACCTAGCGGTAGGGTGTTCGACACATAGGCTCTTCGCAATATCGATGATGGCGGATTGCACAGCTAGGCCTTCAGTAAGGACTAATCGATCAAATAGGTCCATCGTCTCGGAGAAGATCACTTCCTGATAAATGGCGTGACCGCAAACTGATGGGTGTAGAATCTTCTTCAGTGCTAACAATATTTCGAGCGTCTGCTCCTTAGTGGCAAGACTGTCAACTCCTGGCCTGCCGGCAAGAGCCTCGAAAGCAATTCCGAATAGTACAAAGAAGAACGCAACCGGCTCATCACGATAGTTGATGTCGTGTGCCACACCGCTGCCATTGACATGCCTGGAAGAGGCTTTACCGTCTAGGGCGTCAAAGACAAATTGACTGTCCTGCTCAATCAAGCTGGCGATTGCATCGACCAGCTTGAGCCAGGAGCCTTGGTAGAACTGTGGCATCACTCGATTAACATCGATAAATAGGGTGCTATTGAAACCCAAAGTTAGGGTTTACGTACTTGTAGTAGGGTTTCTCGGTTTAATGCCGAGTATATAGTATCGATGGAACCGCCGAGAGTGGTAGCACCTGCTGAATTCGTTGAGATATCAGGCTCAAAGCGTAGCCTTGCGAACTCCCGAAGTGAGGACAGCCATAACGGTGCCAGTGTAGCAATATGTGGCTTAACGACATCAGCAAGATACAATTGCTCTTTACTTGCAACCTGCAGCTCAGCCCAGGCCCGGAGAATGGCCATCTTGACCATGACCTGAGCATTAGAACTGAGCCCTTTTAGGTCTCCAATTGATGCAATCTCGGAATCACCTATGTCGGTTAGCTAAAGAACTATGATGGTGTATGGGAGGTGCTAATAGACAAACTTGAAAAGTTCTCTAACGCTGATGTTAGCAGCCTTAAGATTCTCCCCATCCTATCAACATCCTTAACGATGCCGGTTGAGATAAACCCTGCGCAGACATTCACTGCCTCACTTGCAAGCTCCGGACTAGAATCAGCCGCAAATGCAGGGGTAAGAGCAGATCCAATTTGAGCTTGATATTGCTCTAATAATGTAGCCTCGGGGAAATCGGGATCTGGAGTATAACCAAACATCTTAAGAACCTGATCAACAATCCTCAAACCAGTCAAACGAAGTTGTACTACATTCGACGTACTGGCGGAGAATGCCATCCGGATGATATCCGCAATCTTTTGCACAAGACTCTCCTCCACCGGAGTCTCGGAATCCCTCTGCATCTCTTTTGCAGCTAAGCTTAGCAATTCGAAAAGACAGTTCATCGCAAATGTCCTAACCTGCCATCTTAACAGTTCTTGCCCAGTGGGCTGCGAGCTTTCCTTTTCCCCGGGAGATGCGACAGCGAACGAGGCTACCTCATCGTCGTTCAAGTCCACAGCGCCCGAGTTGGTGGGTCTCTCGTTCTCTAATTTTCCAGCAATGCCGTCCTTCCGCTCTACCAACTTTGACATCACCATCTGGCAGCGGCCGACCCATTTCCCAACATCCTCAATGCCAGTTTGGTTGAGCCAGTTGTTGATTATATTCCGAATACCCTCATGCTCTGGTGCCTCGTCGAGAGCAACCCAAAGTTGCTCTTCCAGTCCAGGATCTGCAGTGTTGATAATCCTCTCTGCGTCTCCTTTCATGAGCTGATAGAGGCCATCGATGGCTACGTCTCTCAATTCCACATACTCTGAACCCAGCTCTTTCTGCAGCCGTTTGACGTAGCTCACAGTATCCACATGGCTGGCTGCGAAAAGTGATAAATGTTCTAGGCATCGCAAAGCCTCCAACTGAGCGGTATAATCTGGCTCCCTCAGGAATTGTCCAACATTAGTTAAAATTAACTCCCTTGCTTTGCTCATATCTTGCAAATCGGGACCAAGGACTCCGATCAAAGAATCGATACACCGGACAACGATGCTTAATACGGGCAGTTCAAATTCCAAATTCGATGTTACGACTGTTGCCGCCTCCTCATTGTGGGTCTCTGCTACGTAGAGTTGGGAAAGCATCCCCAGGGTACTTGTTACAAAGCCGGAAAATGTAAGACCCGCTGAGTCAATAGTCCTGGCTAGTCCATCTAGTGCCCAAAAGTGGACCGTCGGGTGGGGGTCATTGCTAAGAGACATCAAGATCCCAATAATGGTTTTGAGATGGAACCCAGCAGCCATTCCCCCGACATACGAGTGGATGCATCCAAGGGCCACGGCGCAGCCAGCTCTAGCGTTGGGGTCTCGGTTGTTGACTATTGTCCCAACACACCAGTTTATCATATTACCGGTAAAACTATTTCCGCCGATGCTGCATAAACGCCCCAGTGCCTCGTATGCAACATTTCGTACATATGGGTCAGGATGTATGACAAATCCCTAGAATTGGTCAATTCATGCAATACTAAAGCCAAAAGCGGGTCTTGCCTGTAGTAACTCCTGCATAATCTTGAGAACACTCGCGGTGCTCAAACTCGCCGACGGAACTTCTTCACCTATTGTCACTTTAAGAGCCCCCAGGAGGGCTACCGCAACATTGACTATCATGGCAGCCTTTCTTCCAGGATCGCGCTGAAGACTACCTGACGCCAGAAATGTAGCTATCTGTTCTAAAATGCTCTCTTGAACCTTTGGCGGCTGGATCGGAAGGAGGATGGTGAAAAGGTCAATCGCTGAATTTACTACGGCAGTAGCGGGTGGGGCAGGAGTAGGTTCATTCCCGACACTCGAATTGCTTGTGATGTACAGCGAAACAGAATCGTGCTCAATGGATCCGATAACAGGTGTATGTAGCTTCCCCCCCCCCCAAAATATGAAATCAATAATACATCCTTAATGAACCCTTCAGAATCCCGCAAGTAAAGAACGAAACGACTCACCGTTTCATTGATCCTCGCCTCTGGACTGTTCCTTGTCATCCAATGGGCGATAGTTGGCTTAGCACCCTGGGCTTCGAATGCAAATGCCCCCACATCAAATCCTTTCACAAACCCGCATACGCCATATGCGTAGTTGTCTCCAATCTCCCATAATGACTCGAAATTGCCAGCACTAGAAGCGATGGCCGTACTAAGTGAAGATGGAGTGTACTTATCTGGGTCGGCAAAGAAGCTCACGGCAATTGTCAGCAAGTTTGCTTGGAGGGCTTCCCCATGAGAGAGCTTCACAAGTTTCGCATAACACTGGAGAAGACGCCGGCGGACCATAAGGTCAAAGTCGATTAGTTGCAGGGAAGGCGAGAGACGCTGGGAAACATCATCCGTAGTCTTCTTGGCGGGTAAGGTATTAAGAAATAAGGTCGAGTTTTGAAGCATCGCGGCGATTCTCTTGGAAACATCCGCTGTCAAAAGCCTAGAGTTGAATTCAAGGAAGGATAGAATTGAGCCAAGGGCACACTCGCGGACATGAGCTAAGAAAGATAATTCCAAAATGGATCGCTCCGTCGAAGTATCCTTGGCTAGAGGTTTCGGCAGCGCATTCTTCCAGAGCAACAAAAGCTGTGAAAGATGGATCTTCACAAAATTAGGTCCGAGTGCCATCAGCCCCCCAATCAGGATCCACGCGACTTGTATCTGAGTGCCCGAGATACGGAGGTCATAATCTCCGCTTGATTTTAGCAACGATGTAGCAAGGGTTAGTATCCTGGAGGTAACGTCTACCGAGGCATAAAGGGGCTGAAGCGGTGCGGTACTGATAGCTGCTGCAAGGCCATTCGCATACCCGGCACATCTGCGAAGTATCTCTGTGGTTGTAGGTCGCCTTGCAGTCATCTGTGAAAGCTCCCGATTCACATTGTTCATACAAATAGTAATTATAGGGAGGAGTTGGGAAGGAGCAGCAATAACAAAAGCCCTCAGACACCAACTCGCTGCAACTTGGACAGAGTAGCTTGGATGCTGTAAGACCTGGAGGAGTCCATCGCGTGTGGTATCTTGTACACTCGCTAGGGCAGCTCCCAAGGACTGTATTAGAGATGCCAAGGCATGAAGAGCTCCAGCCAGAGCGTGCTTGCTAGGCTCTGGTTTTTCTTTGATGACCTCGGGATAATTCTTTATAGTGTCATTAACAAGAGTCTTGATCGCATTGAGTTGTCCAGTTTCCCCGAGTAGTCTGCGGCCAATCACATCTTCCAACAGAATTCGCACGAACTTCCGGGTGGTCAATAACCGGAACCTATTGGTAATGATTACATGGTGGGAGAGTAGGTCATTAAGTAAATGACTCGAAATCAAGCCATAGTTACTCTCGACTGTCGATGATCCCAGTCGCTGTAGAACCCCTGAATAACATAATGCAACCCCTGCCCTAGCTCTTGGAGACGCGGAGGGTCTGGTGTAGTGCATCGAAAGCTGCCGTAAAATCTCTTCCAAGGTAAATGCTAGTCTTACAGCGGCTTTTTTACTGCTTGGAGCTGGCGAGCTAGGCCTCTCCACGCCCAACCCCTCATCGTCCCCAACAGTAGTCGATACCCTCCTAGTCTTTTTCGCCTTCTTCGCAATTTTCGCAAGCTCTGGGGCTTCGGTAGAGTAAGCTGATACGAGTGCCAACGACCAACATGATGCAGCGGCTTTCCGGGCCGATGCAGAGGCAGAATCTAGTGCCTTCATTGCGACACTTTGCAATTTATCGTATTCTTGGTGGTTATTAAAGAGTTGGGTAGCTTGCAGGAGCTCTTCCATGCACTGTTATGGTTGAAATTAGCAAGCTAGTACAAGAGTATCCCGGCTTGTCAATTTGACACTACCTGTAACGCACTAGCTTGAACAAGGGCTGATTTTTCGCTCGTTGCAGCATTTCTTGCTTGCCTCCATACGTCGCGGGCTGCCGCCTCGTCTGCCATATCCCTGACCATGCTGAAAACCTTTCCTAGAGCTCGAAATATGGAGCTTCTCAATCCACAATGCTAATAATTTTATTAGCTTCAACAACTGCAGTTTCTCAAGGATTCCACTGACATTCTGAGCAGGCTTAAGTAGCTTAAGTAGTGAGGTGCACGTTAAAGTCGATAATGCCATAGCCTGTCATAGTTAGCCAAGCATTCCCGAAACGTTGCGATGCCCACATACACTATCTCCAGCAACTCTGTAGACCTCTCCCACGCAATGGACGGCCGCACTGAAATCCGAAAATCTCATAATCAGAATCCTATCCGGTAACCCATCCATTTCCTTCCAAAAATACAAGAATGAAAGAAAAGGTGCTGGGCTCTTACTGTCGAGTCCTCAAATCTTTATCCGACTTCCCCGCATTTATAAGGCCCACCAGTTCATTGATCGTTTCGAAAAGCAGCTTTCGATCCCCTTTCTCAAAAATGCCCGCAAAGCACCGTCCAGATATATTCCGGACCAGTCGTGTAGGCGCTGGCGCCGACAGGGTGATGACCTTGAAGAGCTCCTTCTTCACATAGAGTTGATAGGCAGAAGCCCCGTCCCCGTCCAACTGATTGACTAGCCTCTCGAGGTTGTTCAGGAAAGACATGATGTATAGTTGCTGCTGTGCTTCCTCCGTGATAGTTTTCAGCTTGGCCATGTCCAGTTGGACGGCCTCAATTGCGGAGGAATCGTCGGCCATTGGGGTTGGTGGGCGTTCGATAAATCAACTGCCGACAGAAGTGGGAGGGAGTATTTGATTGTAGTTCTGTGGTGATGAGTGAATTGCAAACTGTTCAGGGTGAGGTGGCCCGATCAGGGGCGAGAGAGATAGACACCTCTGGGAACCTCTTAAGTTACTTCTGGTCCCGTATTTTATTGAACGATTATGTAAGCCTGAACCCTTGTATGGTATCACTGCAGGGGAAGGCTGCAAGCGAAAAGATGTGTCTTAGTACCGTATGCATCTCCCGATTCTGTTCCGGGAAAGAAAGAAAAAAGCATCTACCACCACCATACCACTACCTTGGGTTTGCTCAAATTATTGATATCATACCCCAACGATGCAAAGCATATCCCGTTTGATGCTCTGGCATCGGCTAAGGTCCCTGAGTCCCATTGGCCTGACTACCCCCCAGTTACTGGTCCACACTCGCACATGCATGGCCTTTTTCTCCTCCTCTTCTCTCCTTCAGTCTGGCCATAATCGATGGAGCAAGATCAGGCACGACAAGGGCAGGAATGATGCGAATAAAGGCGTTGAATTCTCCAGGCTTTCCCAGGACATATGCACTGCGGTGAAGGGTACCATCTCCCATACACTTATTACATTACCATGAAGGCAATATGCTTACAAAAAGCTCTTAACCAGGTGGTGGCCCAGGTCCCGATAACCTTCGCCTATCAGCGGCTTTAGTCGCTGCGAAGAAGGGTGTGAGAAATCTCTCGGGCTTACAACACTTCTGGGATAAAAATGAAACAAAACCTCTAACACAGCAACAGCTGGAATGTCAAAGGAAAAAATGGAGGCAGCCGTGAAGCGTGGTCAAGGCGTTTCTGCATCTGGGGCAGCTCTGGAATCGGTTCAGATCGAATGCATGGGGCCGGGATCTGTTGCAATGATAATGTTTGTCCTGTCCACGATTTACAACCAGTAGCCGCTTGTTTGGTCACCTATTAATCACGGGAACAATAATCACAAGTATAGTGAATGCCAGACTGACAACAAGCTCGGCTGCCTAGCCCGTGTCAAACTCATTCTGCGCAAATACGGTGCCACGGTAACACCCACGTCATATTTATTCACCCGCAGAGGGATAATACGCCTCTCCACCGGGGATAATTCTTACGACACTCTGCTGGAGTCTAGTATCGAGATTGACGGGACGGAGGATATCAACGAGATCGAGCCTGAGGAGAAGGGCTCCAAGGTTGGGGTTGAGGTTACCACGGATCCTGCCAAGACTGTTGCTGTGGCGGACGGGCTCAAGAGCCGGTTATCGGGTGTGGAGATCCTGAGGAGCTCTATTGGATGGGTTCCGAACGGAGAGACCCTTGTCTCAGTCGATGATGAGAAGGCTTCTGAAGGGTTGATAAAGCTAATAAGTCTGTAACGCCTTAATATTTTATTTTATTTTCTACGGCTGGGTATACTAATTCGAATGCGCGAACCAGATGCCCTGGAAGAAATGAGCGACGTGAGCGAAGTGTATACAAATATAAAATAAGGCAATATATCATGCCCTTATTATACCTTGCTCGAAGTATCTCTAACCGACACAACGGATTATCGTGTGTGATTCAAGGCTACCGTCAAGAGGGTATCAAATAATCACCAATGCCTAGCTCGGAGCTCATTTTTTAAGAATGAAAAGACATGAATGAAGAGAAACAAATAACCATGGGCACCCCCATGCCAGCGCTCCAAACCAGACACCGCAATCAACTCGATCAGCCAGACAACATATGAAAAGCCCCTTAAGAGGCTAAAAATGGTCAGCCAAATTCTCATCCAAGACCAAAGACATCACGGATGAGCAGAACAGCGCACGGAAATACAAAGTCCCCACAGCAAGTCCAGAATTGCCCTCGTTCGTTCCCACTACTTCAGTGCAAACCTCACTTTCTTAGCGTTTCTCAAGGCAGGTTCGGTATTGCCGCCATCTCCCACTGCATCGCGGGTGTAAACACATCCATGCGCAACTTTACCCTCAGGAATAACCCCCTCGCAGATTCCGCACTTGGCCGCTGGCCTTCTCCCGCCAACCAAGAGCCTCACATGTGGAATCCTGAACAGCCAAACCTTCCCCATCTTTGGATGGACTAAAGCAATCCACCTATCATTATCAAACGAACGCCCCAGCTGGTCAACCTTAACGCGGGATTTACAAATCACGATGGTATTCGCTGTATTGGTCTTCGCTACGAGGCCCGCTGCCACCTCCACGAGGAGGATTATTTCCTCTTGGCGGCTGTCATCCTTGTTGACGGGATCTTCGGAAATGATGGCGCCGATATCGTGGTGGTAGATGTATGTATCTTCAGTATTGGAGTTCAAGAGGACGCCATTTGCCGGAGTGACTCTCCTGGTGGTGGGGATTGGGGGTGCGAGGCTGGGGGTGAGAGGAGCAGGCGCTTCGGAGGACCTAGGGAGCTGGTGGAGTTCTCCTCTGCGCGTGGGTGTGGGTGCGAGTGTAGGAGAGGAGGAGAGTTCACAGGGTGAGGCGGTGGTCTCCGAGTGGCGAGAGCGAAAACAAGGAGTAGACAACAACAATGTTGGGGATTCTGGTATCTCAAAAGGCGCCTGGGCCGTCCCAGCGCCAGAAAGCTTGACAGCGGAGGGCTCGGGCTCGGGATCTGCGGGCTCGTCAAGCTCCTTGGAGCGCCCGGAGAGCCTGGAGAGCCTGGAGAGCTCCTCAAGCTCAGAGAGGTCGGAGAGTTTGAGACGCTTGGGGTACGCGGGGAAGGGAGCATAGGGAAGCCTATTTCTTCTAGTAGCGGCTATTAACGCGGGATTAGTCCAGGGTGTAATCTATGATAATGGGGTTTTCCATAATTGGTGTCGTAGGCCAGTTTTCCGATATAGCAGGGGTTCATACCTTTGGCCTTGGATCTCGTGGAGGCTGAGTCCATTTTTGCGTAATCGAGCATATTTTTTATTTTCCTCTGTCGGTTCGTTTGGGAGAAGCAGGGGTGGTAGGGTGAGGTGTGTCTTATGAGGCGGATGGGGAATTTTTATGGGGTGTTTGTCAGTATGATAACTCCCCCCACGGGAGGGCCGCCATAGAAAATTCAAGCAACTCCCATCCCTAGGAAACTCACACTACCTTGGTACTGTACAGCATCCTACAGCGCAATTTCGTCCTCTCTCCTACAAAAAGGTATAAACGATTTGATCGCACTCGGAGTGAACTACCAGCAGAGAAAATTCCAACAAACATCCAAAATGTAAAGGGAAAAAAGTGAGAGAGAGAGAGAGTCATGGTACTCAATCCGCTTTAAAAATCAATAATACCTTACATCTCCCAAATCCCCATAAAAAAACACCCCACAACCTTCCCTCCCTCCCTCCCTCCCTTACTCCTGCTGGTCCCCCTCCGCCCGCCTGGCCCGCCTCTCCAACCGCTTCCGCCTCAACCTCTCCAGTTCCGCCTTTATCTCCTCCCTCTCGAAGGGGATCTTGTGCGTCTCCTCCGGCTTCGGCCAGAATCCCGGCACGGAGAAGCGATTATCGAGGTTCGTGCCGAAGTAGTACATGACCGCGATTGGGAACATGATGTATCTAGATTCCCGGCCATCTGTCTGTCAGCTGTTGTCCCCGTCTTTATCTTCTCTGTTCTGGCGTGGCATGGTGGATGGATGGAAGACGGTCATTGCGCACATTCCGAACTAGAGCGCAAAAAGTAAGTGGAATTGTCAGTCAGTCAGTCGCCAACTTTTTTAGCAGTGGAGAGAAGTGTGGAATGCGGTTTTGGAAAAACCTTGAATACTTCTAGATTACTTCCGCCCATGTCTGGTTTGTGTTTGTTTGATTGGTTTGTCGGGGGAGGGAGGGAAGGAGAGTTGAATGTTTGTCGGAGTGTTTCAGATAGTCTACCGGTACCGTACCGTATAATAGTTCAACCGTTGGATGATCAGATGGTGGGCGGTGTGGGGGGTTGAAAACCCGATCGGGTGTGGAAACAAGCTTTTTATTCGCCTGTCAGGTTAGGAGGGGCGTTGATTTTGCCTCCCTTTCCGGATTAACTTAACTTAAACGTTGTGTCACCCCTGTCGTCTATCCCCCACGTGAGTTTATCTTCCGGTGATGGTTATGCCACGCCATGCCATGCCACGCGCCGCTGAAGCTTTTGAGCTTTGCAGTATTATTTTTGCGGGTATGATATCATAGTTGAGACTACCTAAGGACTATATATATATATGATATCCCGGAAAAAAAAAATTGCAGGATTAAGATCTGGCAAAAGGATGCTTCCTGGGTATATGAGATTCCATCAAGATTTCACTCCAGTCGTCCCCTAGTCAATTACCATAGCACTAGTTATTCACGCTCCCTCAGTAGAGTTAAGTTAGTTAGATCTCTCACTGGTAGTACAGTACGAGTACGAGTATGATACAATACAGCACCGTAGCAAAGCTGCCCCACGCACAGTCCATTAGGGCAGGGCACTCAACGGACAGAACCTATCATAGTCCTTTTTTTTCCTTCCTTCCTTCCTTCCATCCCACTTTTCACAACGTTCTCCACGGCCAGGCTTGTTATCCAACGGTGTGTCATAATACGATACGACCAACAAGATAGAACCTCGCAGAAAAATATCTGGGAGTGAATTCATAAATATCGGTAGTTTCTAATTTACAGTGATAGGTTTACCCCCCCCGGGTCGTATCTACCAGCCAATACTGTAGCAAGCGACTTCTCCCATAATGATTTTTCGAAAACCTAAAAGGGGTGCAGTAACTGTACTGTACTATTTCAATTCTTGTTAGTTAGATATGGATGGGGTTTCTCGAGCTCGCGAGCACTCTAGGTCTCGCGTTTTTGCTAGACGATTCGTTCAGGTCATGCGTGCGTGTGAGACGGAGTGGGAATAGTTTCGTTCAATTTCCTCTTCTCTTCTTTCCCTTCATGCCGGATAAGTGAAAGGTCCGACGTGTGATATGGTGGGGACTCTGTGCCTTTGGGTCATGTCAGGATGCGAATATATACATGGGTAAGTTAGCTAATGATGGAGGGAGGTCGACTTTGTGGTAAATTACAATGTTATGTTCAAGTACTTATCCACGGAATCTCTTCATAGAGTGTCACTCGTTAAGTGGGGTGGGAGAGTATGATAAGGAGGAAACCACCTGCACAAAATATCATAGTGCTGGGTTGGGGGATCTATCGTAGGGGAACACGACAGTAATGGGGTTTGATCATGTTTTTAAAGATGGTGGGCCCCAAGGCATCGGTGGGGACGTCAATGGAAGGGGGGGTGGAGACGATAATACCGGTAGAAGCGTACCTAGACTAGAAATGATCATTAGGACTAGTTGTAGTTGTAAGGATGACCCATCCAAGACGACGGAGTATATAGAGGGGGGGGGGGTATGGGGGGCTCTCTCTTCAAATCCTGCTCACTAGGAGATATTCCCAAAGATGGAATGAGAAAATGCAGGTAGGAGGAGTCCGTCAATAACTCTTCGGAAGATCCCGCATTCCACAATACCCACCACAGACCTAGGCAGGCTCCGTAGCTATCATAACTCAGATCCGAGAAACTAGAATTCGCTGTCGCTGTGCTTGGGCCCTAGATTGGCTATTATGGTCATCGCTGTGCTGGGTTACTGTGAGACGGAAGGTATAGATGGGGCTGACACACGTGATGGAGAGGGGTAATTTGGTAGGGGACGGAGTATGGCGTGATAGGTTGTAATACCGGCACTAGAGGAACCGCGAGGCATCCGGTAGCTTGTTCTTCCGGGGTCCTGTCCACCAAGTTGATTTTGCCGAAAGGACCAATTCCCATGTATTCCTAGTGGACTGACTGCTTCCAAGTTTCATGCACCCAGAGAGCGGGCAGAAGAAACCAGTGAGAGTGGGAAAGCTAAGTAAGAGGGCACATCTCAAAGGGTTTGAAGTGGGTGATCTATCCTGCTGAAAATCCCCCTCCTCGCTTTCCTAACAATCAGAGAGGATACCACGTACGAGTACAGTACCCACCTTCCCACCATGTTCAAGTCCTCTCAACCCAGTCAGCATCCGAGCTCAAGAACGAAATCGAAGTGCCGCACCCCTATCCTAACCGAAAACAGAGACCATCGTCATCGCAAGCAAAGCGTTGTAACAACCTGAATATCCAGAGGCCGTGAAACAGAGCAAGAAGTGCTGCACAACCCCCAGCATGAGATAGCCCCTCCCGGAGAAACCACCGCTACAACCCCCCCCCCCCCCGTGGCAAACAGTCCTGAGGTCTCAAACCTGGTTTGTATAACATCCGTTGCGTCTGAAGAGCACTCCACGGGACTGCAGATAAGATACCCGTACGAGTACTGTGAACCAATTGATCGGCAGCAGAAACATAATTCAGTGCAAGTGGCGGACACAGGAATGTGCACCTATAACACCGCTGCTGAGTCCCTCGTGCGGTGGCCTTGTTTGGGGTATTCATAAAAGGTGTGGGCGGGTGGGGGGTTGAGAGGGGTTCTAGGCTGGTATCCAGGACCACGCACTGCTGTAGACTACGATACAGTGACCGGTGCAGGACTCGCGCTTGTGCGGTATGAGGCGGGTGCAGTACGGTACCAAAATTTAATGAAACCAGCCTGGGGTTATGCACGTGCAACAGTGGAAAAGGGTAAGTACTCGTACGAGTAGAACCTAACTTATTTGCCTTGCCTGCCCGCCTATTCTTTCATCTGTGGGGAGGGACATTATGTGGCTTGAAGTGGTTCCGGAGTGTCGTGCATGATCAAGGTCGCAGGGCCGGCACCGGAAGTCTGCAATACCGTCCGTAAGCCACCGGGGCCGGGTAAGTATTCCAAACGTGATGCCTGCTACCGCTGCCAGTGATGAGTGTTAGTCTATGGTAACTTACCCCGCATACCGGTATACCTGTGCCCTAATACGAGAAACATGTGATGCCCTCTCTAAGTCAATAGTGACTCGGAGAAGAAATTCGCAAATTTAGTGCTCAACTGAGGCAAAGGGAAAGATAGAATACAGAGCAGCTCGCTCGGGTAGGTGGTTATCACGTCCTACCACATTTCTCTTGTATTCGAGCCCCTAGGGGGCATCTACCGGAGGATACCTGTATCCCGGGATGTGAGCCATCGCTGAGATATCGACTGAACCGTAACTTAACCCATATTCTCTCTATAACATAGGAATGCCGCCGTGTAATTGGTTCGGTTGAATAAATGGCTTTCTCCAGGTGGGCTGATCGCATAACCAATTGAGTGGATGGTCCGGGGTCTAGTATGACAAACGGCCTGAAGAACAGAAGTCATAGAAACCGGAGGGTTCTCCCCGTGGGGGGGGAGGGGGAGTGGTACCAGAAGGGCCGGGGCCTTGATACGCGTTTTTAGTGGACAGCCTAGCTTTGGATCTCGGGGAGGGGAAGGAAGAAGAAGAATGTCCAGCGCCCAGAGTGTTTCTGGCTCCACTTGGCGGTAACCTACGGGAAGCGGAATGCGATATCCGTAAAGATCGGGAGCGTCAGGTTACTGTAGTGTTTCCTCCGCCGTTAGCCGACCGGACACCCCGGCGAACAGTAGGCCATGACGAGTGTGCGAACGAATCGAGGCGGCGATTGGGACTCATGGGGATGATCTGGACTTGCTTTCCGGCGCGAAGATTCCAAGCAATGTTCAATGATCTGCAGAAGAACTCGTCAGCCCCCGGCACATCATACGAGAGCTCAACAATGCAATCCGACAATGTAGGGCACAGCAACAGGCTTTGAACAAGCAACTTACAGTAAGCCCTGTCTCACGATTTGGGAACACGAGTATTTTTTACCCGTAACGGTACCTGAGGCATCGGAGCCAATAGATACGGTAACTGCGAACCGCACTGCTACTCGAGTATACTCGTACATGTACAGGTAGAGTATCACCAGCCCAGTTAACAATGCAGATCCGCACTCTGCAAGAATCTGACCTTCCGAGCTGAAGACTCCCACCTTGCATGGCAACGGGCAAATAAAGGCCCACCCACAGCATAACAATAGTTGCCCGTTAGGATTGTATGTCTGTGCCCCGGCGACATGATGCGTACTGAACTGAACCAGACTACTCGAGTAGAGTAGAGATCGAACGAGCGTTTCCCTAATCAAAACCCAGTAGTTTATATCTGCATAGCTACTCGAGTAGACTTCGATCAACCAGAACAAATTATCAGAAAATCACTCCCTTCCCCCCATATATGGCAGCGGCAACCCTGAGTTACGGACCAGGTTAGCTCGAGTATTGCTAGCCGCCAATCTGCTGTGGGAAGGGCGCAAAGCGAGACCCCATAGTCTAAGCCCTAAGAATGTCGCAGGCAACCCTGTGAGCCCTGCGAGTATCATGTCGGGCGACCAATCCATAAGCTGAAGGGGCACCGTTGGTGGGTGGTGTGGTTAAACTGGCTTGAGAGAGGGCCGGTGGTGGTCCACTAATGCCTCCGAGTACTATAATTCGTACCGTACAGAGTATCGGTAGCTTTCCGCCCCTCTCGATTATCGAACAGAAGGGAGAAGGGTGCAGGCTATTGATGCGATCGTGGATACCGGTAGACTGCCCGTATGGTGTTCACTGTAATACGGCACCCTCGGGCTTAGAAGCAGGTTTAGGGCGAGAGTGTTGGACGATATATTGGGTGAACGGCAAGAGCATTTTTTCACATCGAGCTTAGAATAAGGAAAGAGCCGCCTCTGTTTCCGTGATAGTGGCAAATGCGCGCTACTGGCTTTGCGCTCACAATTCGGGGGCCCCTGTCCGAGTGAAGAAATGTAAGCCATGTGAAGGTCGCAATCATGGACCGGTACTTGAGGAGGATGTCGGGAATTCTCTACTCGAGTACGGCACCCCAGTCCAGCAAGCAGTGCTGGGGGTCATCGGGCTTACAACCTCATTCAGCTGGAAACTGTACTCGAGTACAGTAGAAATTTGCATTAGAGGAACCCAGGCCCGGGGCGTAACGACGTTTAGGGATATCATACAGGTTTCTCGAGTTGTACCGGTATCATACTAGTGGATTTTGGTGCATGTACGAGTAACGCCATTTGCGCACACACAAACCTTCCAGCCCCACTGGAAACCTGGCACCCGAAAAACGCTTTTTCGACCAGCGACGGAATGCCTCGATTGCTCGCCCTCCAGGAAATTCATACTGCACCCTACGGTGCCCGAATAGTCTTTCCGCGACCAGTCTCCAGATCGCCAACAGACAGCTCGGCACCAGCACCAAAATCCCTGTTTCAAGACGACTTACCGTTTTCGTGAAAAAAGGGCAGGCTTCTCCCCACCCTTCTCGAGGGTCTCAGACACCTTTTAACCCAGAATACTTTTGTCAAAGAAAAACAAAGAAACGGGCGTGCATCGACACCAGTAAAAGTGCACAAATCTCCCGTTACGCGGGGGGGGGGCATCCATTATCGAGGCTGGTAAGGCTGAGGTTTCTCGCCCACATGTGACGTACCGGTGTAACACCAAATGCCTGATGTTGCTGCAGGTCTCGAGTGATCGTCAATGATTTCCAAGGCAGAGCAGCAGTTTTTTTGAGGTGTAAGGTAATCATTGACCGAGAGTACTCGTAGTAGCATGGGTAAAGGAGCCGTTTTCCACAAAACGTTCAGCGGATATCGGCAGAAATCAACCGTGCCGTCTCCACATCCCCGCTCCCATCGCACCTGCCGGTATCACGAGTGGATCTGCGGTGTACCGTGGAGACCCCAGTGAATGGCCCATAGGAGCCCATAGGGTGAGAACGGTATGATATAACTCATACACAATCGCACTGCGGCCACGGAGAGCAAGGGGCTGCCATGATTTCTTCTTCCAAACTAATTCCCGATACAGCATGCTCAAGCCCGTGATTACCCTACGGTACTCGCAATGTGCCGCCCGCGTTCACCATCGCACGGCCGTCGAAAGAGGCCATTCACCGCATCTACTCGCCAATTACCCATAGCCACCACTCGCACTCCCGCTCATCACACAAACGACAGAATCAACTCCTTCCACCTACCGTCAGTTAGGCGAAAAGACCTCAGCGATACCTGTTGTTGCAACGATACTAGCAGCTCTATCATAATGACACCGCTATTCAGCTTTGACCCCGCTTTTTGGCGGGGTTGTTTTATGCGGGCCTACAGCTGAAGGGCAGCCCATGCTCGGCTCCCATGTGGGGAATGCGTTCCCTCCAATTAGGCGATTTGGTGATCCAGCCTTACAAGTGTGCTAGATGTCGGTCTGATACTTTTTTTTAGCGTGTTGCAGTATGCGGAGTAGGCTTTGTGGGTCCTCGTTTTCGCCAGAAGGGCTAGGTTCTGCCCTTTTCTGCGTTCCACGGCCTCCCTCCACCGGGGAATAACCGTGTATGGCAATATATCGAAGAGATTTTCCCAAAGCCGAAGATTCTGTCTATGGGTACTACTGTGCCCGGGTAGTGCAATCAGGGAAACGGGTACTCGACCGCTTGTGGGAGTACCGGTATGGAAGCATATATGTTTATCTGATCCGTGTCCGACTTAACCTATCTCTTAATGTAGGTACACATGCAACACGAGGGTAGATACTCCATACCGGTACTCAAAAACAGGACTGGACACAAAGTATGAATCAATTGCGGGACTGCTCGAATCCAGCCTTGAGATTAAACTGACAGGCCATCTTCAGCTACTTAGATACGATAGGGATTTACAGAGGTGACGGATGCTCTTCCGAACCACCACCACCACCCCTGATGTCTCTGGGGCGTCCTATGGATAGCCTGCGTCGGCACGTGGGGCAGTCTCAGGCATTTCCTAAAGGCGATTGAGAGTGGATGATACCCCTTACGACATGCGAGGGCGGACCTCGCCTTCTCCGCCATCTCCCCCCCCCCCCCCCTTCCTCCTCCACCACTTTCCATCTACTCGTACAAATACCTCCTCCATTCCCCCTCAATCTCATACTCCTTTCACCAGACTGTCTCCTTGAGAACAATCTGCCCTCCATATCCCGCCCACCCCCTATAGTCCTACTTCACTAGCATAAAGATTGCCCACAATGGCTGCCAACTACTTCAACATAACCGGCATCCGCGAGGGGGTCAATGGACCCGCCGTACCTCTCCGCCAGGAGATTCGCGCTCTCCAGGCTACCAACCCTGACATGTTCAACCTCTACATTCTCGGCTTGCAACGTATGCAAAGCCTGCCCAAGACAGACAGGCTCTCCTGGTTCCAGATTGCTGGTATTCACGGACGCCCGTATACCGCTTGGGACAATGTCAGGGGTAACGGAAATGCCTCTGGATATTGTACCCATTCGAGCATTTTGTTCTTGACCTGGCATAGGCCTTACTTGGCACTGTACGAGGTTTGCGAACTTGGTTCCCAATACTTGGCGGGGCTCGTAACTAACAGGAGCTATTTTTATAGCAATCACTCTTTGAGAATGTGAAGGCTGCTGTTGCGGCGTTCCCTCCTGGACCCACCAAGGATAGATTTACTCGGCTTGTCCCCAGCTTCCGTATGCCGTAAGTGCTCCTTCCGATTACCATGCCTATGTGAAGTTAATGCCAACAAAATCCTCCCCCCCCAGATACTGGGATTGGGCTGCGGATGCGAGAATTCCCGATTTTGTTCTCAGGGACCAAACAATCGAAGTTGAGACTGCAACTGGCAGGCAAAGAATCAGAAATCCACTATATAGCTACAACTTCGGGTCAATTGATCGAAGAGAGTTCCCGGTAAGCGCATCCTGCCGTCCTGATATATAATTGCTCATAAGTAGTAACAGGAGAATCGTTTCAACACTTGGCTTAATACCGTCCGGTATCCCAACCTCGCAAATGTCAACCCCACCGACCCAGGCAACCCAGCACAGGTAGCAGCACAAATGCGGCAAATAGAGACATTCCCTAACCCAGGCACGAACGGTCTCAAGTAAGTCCCTCCCTCCGTAATAGTCCTCGATATAATACAAGATTTCCAACACTTATGAGCGAAAAGTCTCCGCGATCGTGTATATGCTCTCCTTAGCCGAAACAACTACCGGAACTTTGCATTCTTCTCCAATGACGGCTGGAACAATAACGGCCACCCCGACGACTACGACTCCCTGGAGTCGGTGCACAATACCATTCACGGCACTATTGGTGGCGGAGGACACATGGTAAGCCAATAGTAAAATCATGCCTGCTCCATACTCTAACTGCTTCGCAGTCTACACCAGCCTATGCTGGATTCGATCCAATTTTCTGGCTTCACCATACCAATGTCGACCGCCTCTTTGCCATTTGGCAGGTTTTGAATCCAAACAGCTATGTCGTCGACCAGCGAGCCAGATACTCAACCTTCTGGTCTCAGGCGAACGGAACTGAAGGACCCAATACAAGTAAGTTATCCCCTCTCCCGCTCCATCACCCGGGCCTGACTAATTGATACACTAGCCCTCCTACCCTTCCACCAAAACAACACCACTTACTGGACATCCCTGACTTGCAGGAATCTAAAAACATTTGGAAGCACATACCCCGAACTTGTTGATTGGGGGGTGGTTAGCCCTAACCAAGTCGTGGCCAACGTTCAGAGAGCCGTACAAACCCTTTATGGCCGAACCGCCCCAGTGAACAGGATTTTGGGTCAAGCTCCAGGTGCTATTGGAGCCTCTGTGCTCTCCTTCTCTCAACCCGGTGTCGCTGTAACCGCTTCGGGCTCCGGCATTCCCCAGACCGATGGTCCAGGAGATGAAGAGACCCCTGCCCAGTCCTATGGTGGCCAAAGTGAGCAGCAGCCCATCCAGTCTGAGTCCACCGGCCAACCCGATCTTATCAAGGATGGCACTGTCTATGAGTGAGTACCTGCGAAATCGGGCAACCCCCAAAATAACGCATTGCTGATTTTCCACCTTAGATACTTTTGCAACATTCGTGCCGATAAGTACGCTGCTGGGGGCTCTTTCAATGTTCACATTTTCCTCGGAGATTTCAGCGATGATGCCACACAGAGAGCCTATGATGATAACCTCGTCGGAACCTTCAGCGTATTCGCAAACGACCCAGAGACCACCGGATGCGAGAAGTGCCAGAATGAGGCCGAAGATGGATTGATTGTCACCGGCTCCATCCCACTGACTGGTGCATTGCTGGACAGGATCCCGAAGTTGAACATTCCGGAGTTGAATTCGTTGGAGCCGGAGAATGTTATCCCATATCTGCAAAGTAAACTCCACTGGAGATGCAATAGGGTTTGTCCCCTCACGAACGCTTCACTGGTCCACTATGATGCTGACATGTCTTGAAACGCAGCCCGACGACACCCCTATCCCGCGTGAGGATATCTCAAGCCTGAAAGTGGGAGTTGCCTCTGTCCCGGTCGAGGTTCCGACGCCTGACCACCTGCTTCCCAAGTATGGTGAATGGCAGGCGCGGTACGAGGTGACTGAGGGCCGCAAGGCCGGTCTGGCTGAGGGTGACAATTTGTAAAGCCATCGATAGTTGTTGCAATAATGGTATACTAGCCACCATGTGGCAGAGTTGGGGCAGCTATAGGCGCATCTCGTTTTTCTTTTCCGAACACTAACGCACAATAAGTTAAGCAAGGATTTATCTATTTTTCCGAGACACGAGAAATGAGAAAATATCTTCCAAACGAGACCTGATTTTTTTATTTCTTTTCCCCTAGGGTCGAAAGGATCGTGCCTTGTTCCAATCAAACGATTTCACGGGGAAAAGCAGAGTGGAAAGGAAAACGAGCGCATACTAATGTCATGCGTGATGCAGCCCATATAGCAATTGAGATTCCGGATGAAAAGGCTTGAACCCATCGACAAACCCGCAGTCTGAACATCGTCTTGTTCAGGATATCGTGCGTTCACCCCTATGCCGCGATCACCTCACCATCACCAGTCAACCCCACCACATGCATGTGTATGTATGCATGAAAATTTTCTAGCACGCGATCACGACAAGCCCGGTCCGTGGGGCAATAGTACACTTTCGAGTAAACGGGCCGTACGTGCTAGAGTAGCCCAACACTCCTCATCAAATCACATAGAGAATCGTAGGTAAAGCCAATTAGCCCACAATGGATCGCGGAAATGCACGACTCGAGCACCCTCGCGGAGACGGCGGCTGCATGTCTGGCTGGCTGGCCGCGCGAGTCCTACCCTACTATGCCACATACAGCACCTTTTGTGCTTGGCCCGAAGCCATCACTCTGCCCTGCAAATCTGTGCTCCACTCCCCCCGATCGCTCATTCATTCGTGGCATAATACCACGAGTCAGCGTATCGGAAAGAGGAAGAAAAGAGAAAAAAAGAAAAAAAGAAAAAAAAACAAGCCCGCAGCGCGTCCTGAAGCGCAAACACCTTGGGATATTTATTATTTTTTCACCTTTCCCTTTCCAATCATAAGGGAAGAAGAGGGAAGAAGAGGGAAGAAGAGGTAAGAAGGAGGGGACTTTCGAATCCGTCCGCATCGAGCGCGATTTCCGATCGCCCACGATCGGGCCCATCGTTGCGAGTGAGTTTTTGTGGACCACCTCGTTGGAAGAGTTGGATGCGGTGACCGTCTGGTTGGGTTTCGGGGCTTTTTTTTTTCTTTTCCTTCGCGTAACCCACCCACCTTAAAATAATAATCGTAGATTGGGTTTGGAAAGGATGGAGGAGCGGGAAAAGCGGAGCACGGAGGATATCATACAAAGTGGGGGTTGGTCCAGATTTGGGCTGCGCGTGTGTGTGTGACAATGATGCCGTTTTTATCGTAGTTTATTTGGTCTTGGTGCTTGTGACGGGAGGGCTCCTCCACACCCGAGTACAAGTGCTCGAGTACTCGAGTACAGCAGTGTAGTGGCGTTCTTGTTTACTTCGAATGCGAGAGGGATTTGTTTGTTCTTGGGGATGGATGGACGGACGCTGTAACTTTATGATTTAAATTAAACTATCATACTTTTGATGGGTTCGATGCCGATGGTCCCCGCCCCCTCCTCCCCCCTCCTCCCTTCCCAATCTATCCTATCGGTATGTACGAGTATTATGATAGATACTCGAGCTTGGACGTTTTTTTTTTATCCATCAATTCATTTACCCATCCAGAAGTCGAGTGTGATACCCGGAGATTTGGGAATCGACGCGGCCCGTGCTGTACTGTACTCATACTGTATGATATCGCATTGTATTCTAGATTTATTTTACTGTACGGTAATCCGTTCTATTATATTCTGATACGTTTGATCTGATGGCGATATATAGATTGAGTGAGTGAGCTTCTAGACCACGTTCCCTTTTTTTTCTTTGCCTCATCCTCATCCTCATCCTCATCTTCTGTAAGGTAGGTTATTTTCGGTATGCTACGAAGTGTATCAAACGCTCTGGAGGGAATTGAGCAAATGCCATGATTTAGCGGTCATTACATTTGCCCGCCCACTGGTATAACCACTGTAGCATATTGATCAGAATTGAGGCAACGCAAAAAAAAAAAAAAAAAAAAAGAGAGAAGAAGGGGAAAAAAATGCAAGGGCTGAATTGTGGAGTACATACAGTAATACCGGTAGTGACCGCACGATATATACAAGTACTGTACGATCGCAATGTATGATATGTTACAGCCGTCCACCGCATTAACCTCCCGCGGGGCGGTATGTACAGTACAGTACAGTACAAGCACGATGCTGCGCAGTATATACGATCCTGTACTGTACTGTACTGTACCTCCGCAGTGGGATACGATAGGGAGGACAAGATTCCGTGACCGGGACCGGTATGATACTCCCACTGCAGAATCCAAAAGTTTCCCCCCCCTCCCCTCCCGCGCCCTCTCCCCGGTCCGGGGGGTCACCATTATTCTGGTAACATATTCAAAGCGGAGAGGGTCTTTCTCTCTACAGTATCTTGATAAACGATGTCCGCTTTATCGATAAATAACATATTGTAACCCTCACTACTGGTATTGTATGTTGAAAGGTTGAATGGTTCTTCCCGGTCTTTCCCCCCCCCCCCCACATACCGGGATTTGCCGTTACGATATGATAGTGCTATTTCAGCCGCATATGTGTAAGAGTTCTCGTATTATGAGGGACCCTTACTTGTGCTTGTTAAATACGTCTCTGGGGACATCGTAAACACCTATCCCAATTTCTTCCTACTCGAGTACTTACGGGGTACCGGTAGTAACTATACGAGTAGAAAAAGTGGACTTGGGTGCACAGAACAGTAAATTCGCTCGTGGACTACGGTACTTTCTCTCTTCAGCTGTATTCCAGCTGAGTGTATGATACCAATATGATACCCGTTAAGTTATGCTGA